GTTTATAGAAATTGTGACCTCTTTAAACCTTTCCTTTTCTCCATATCATGCAGATAATAATAGGATTTACCTCATGAAGTAATAAGGATGAAACATATCAATGAATATAAAGAGTTCAAACAGGCCGGCATCTGGCACATAGTAAGGGCTCAAACAGTGTCACCAGCAATTGTTACTATTATTCATTAGTCATTATTATCTTATCAGCCTCCTACTTATTGGATTCTATCATGCAGACACTGCAGATAATCGTATAACTGGTGCTCACATTTTTCTTCTTTTCCTGGACCCCTCCCCCACCCCTCCTCAGGCAACTTTTTTGTCTCCGGATTTTACCCAGGGCCCCGGCACAGACATTCCTAGTGTTGAAATAATCACAACAGCTATCGCCATAGGCCTTTGGAACATCAATTGTTAGAACATCCCTAATATATTCCATTTTTCAGGGGAGGAAATTGAGGCTCAGAAGGAGAAGTGACCACTCAGTCAGCAAGAGGCAGAGCTGGGATTTAGACTTAGATTTGTTTGACGCTGATGCCCCTTAAAACTTAAAACTTAAAAAAAAAAAAAAAGCCAAAAGCATCCATTCAGAACCCCCTCCCCCCAAGGCACACCATTGATGATAAAAATAAACAGGGCTCTCAGTGAGAGGAACACAGTACAAGGAGAGCTTGAGTCAGCCCGGTGTCCACAACTGTCCTCCAACCTCAAGGCAGTCCCTGTCCTCTGCAGCCCAGGGGCTGGTGGCATCACAATGCGATGGTATTGCTTTGACTGTGGCCATGTGGTGGTGAGGAAGCCCCGACCCCCTTCCGGCCTCTTTGTTCTGTTTAGCGCTCCATCTGTGGGCCCCTCACAGGCAGCCTGGCTGGTCTTGACTCTGAGGCGAAGGAGTAAACATCTTGGGGTGCTTTATTAGTTTATTTCAGAAGATGGAGCCTGTTTGTCCCTGGGGCCCACCCCTCTTTTATGGCCTCCAGCCCTTCTTAACAAATTCTAGTGACTGGAGAGAAAACCCCTTTCTACAGTGGATCATTAAAACACCACCATAAACCCAGGGCCATAAAATATTATTTGCTGGGCATAAAAGGGGGGTAGATTTTCCCAGAATGACAACCCAGGCACTGCTTTCTCCCACTCTGGGAAAGGCGGCACAGGGGATGCGATCGTTCATAAATTCCTTATCTTGCGCTTCCTCTTGGTGAAATAACCCTGTTGGGAGAGCAGCCAAAAATATTGATTTATTTGTTCCACAGACTCAAAAGCACTTTTAATGAGTGGAGCACAGCGATGCCTTGCCTGTGTGCCTGCAGATGACTCAATCGGAGTACACACACTCAAATGCACAGGGGGTTCGCGAGGGGAAACGGGGAGTTCCACAAGCTGGAGGTGGATCCGACAAGAATCTTAGAAGGTGGGGATGGAGAGGCCTCGGTTTCCCTTCTTTGTCTGCTCACCCCCTAGGCAAGGCCACCAACACCGGGAAATGGACTGGCTCTTACAACCGAGCCTGGTTTTCCAGAGAAGCACCCTCTGGACTGAAGGCTTAAAATGATTTTCCAGTTGGTTCTCCTTGACATCATTCTCTGGAAATAACCCTTTCATCCATTCATGCACTCATTTGATCATTCAACAAATAGTTTTGGGCACCTACTAGGTGCCGGGTACTGTTCTAAGCACGGGTGTTATAGGCATGGAAGATACTGTCACAGAGCTTCCTGCATCCCTGCAGGGCGTACTCTCAGCACACCCATCATTTCCATCTTCAGATGAAACTCACAATCCTGTATCTGAAGTCCTGGGGTAAGATTGGCATGTCAGAAAATTTTGGAATTCTTTTGGAATGATAATATGGGGGCACATAATTATTTAGTTTGCAGAAGGCTTCAGTGAGGTCTGGGGAAGTACCCAATAACTCAATGCTGTTTCTATTTCTTCAGTGAAAAGTGTGGCCATTCACTGTAACTGGAATAAATCAAGACTATAAATGGTCTTGTCACATGAGGTCCAGTTCTGCCACCAAAGGAGTCTGAAAACTTTTGTTTTCAGAGCTGCTTTCTGAAGAGCAGGTATAGAGTACCTGGTAAGTGACCCATGCTGAGTACTTCATGACCCTCACTGTTCATTCTTGCCACGTCCCTTATTTCCAAGGTCATCCATTTCCTTTTCACTGCACCCCTGCCACAGGTCCTTATACTTCTCTGTGTTTTGTGTGTTTGTCTGTATATATGTGTCTTGAAGAGGATTTTAAGGCATGGAGAGGGACAATGGCTTGTCAGAGATTTGACAGCTAGAAAGTGGCCTAGGAGGGTAGGAACTTCAGTCTATAGTCAACCACTGTCTAACACTACTGACCTCTAGATGAAAGACAGCAAAGCAGGCAATAAAACTATTGGGGCTGTGTCTACACAAGCAAAGGCAACTGGAGAAAAGCAGGCAATGATCTAGATAATTCAGAATATAGCAAATTTTAGACAAAGGTTTGTGTTGGAGAGCCAGTGTTTCTGGACAGGCTGTAGGGGTAGAACAAGTTAGTAGCCTTTCTCTTGTAGCAATAAGCTCATCTATGTGGACTCAGGGACACTCAGGCATGGAGTGGCTTCAGCACCCTGGGAAAGCTCCGTTCTTCAACAAACCACTTCCTGCCACTTCCCAGTGCCTCCACGTGTGAACTGGTCACTGAACTGGTGCCTCTGGGCATCATTGGGCTGCCTGTCTAGGAGACATGAGTGCTCCTTTGGCCAGGAGACTCCCAGGCTGCAGTTATAGGTTAAAACTGCGAAGGGAGAGAAGAGAATGGGGAGGGAAGCTGCACAGGGGAGGTTTCCCAGGCACAGACCCCTCATGTTTAGACCCTCCCCTGGGACTGACACATCTCGGAATAGATGGAAAACTGGAAAACACCCATAGGTCATTGTTATTTGGTCAAGACCTAAAGAAGGTGAGGGGACAGGGGACTTAGATGAATGGGAGAGGTCTCAATAGGAGCTTTGATGACCTTGGGCTCCCCTTCCTCAAGGCTTCCTGCACCCTTGGCTAAAGAAAGCAAGGCCAGAGGGGGAAGGGGCATCTCTTGCAGTTTCTGGGAAGCCTACACTGCCATTTTGGTGCCTACCAGGAGGCCAGGGCTGAGAAGGAGTCCCATTAGCTGAGAGGAGTAAGGTTCAGTAAGGGACTGGGAAGCGTGGGACAGCATCTCTGGACCCTCTCCCAGAGCAACCTGGGGTGGTCAGCCAAGGGTGGGGATGGAAGGAACAAAACAACACAGCCACCACCCAGAAGGACCCAGGCTATGAAGTTTTTGCCTTAAGGTCAAGTGCATGCTGTTGGATGTCAGAAATCGAATCCGTGTGTGTGTGTGTGTGTGTGTGTGTGTGTGTGTGTGTGTGTGTGTGGTGTATCTTCCACTTCCTCGGGTGTCTGGAGGATGAGGAAGACTCCGAATAAGAATTGGGCTGGTGCCCCTGGCATGCTGGACATGGGGGGACACACATCCACCAACCGTATCCTGTATTCCGGGCGGGACACCCACAGGTGTCTGCAAGGGTCTAAGAGCTCCAATGCTTGGAACTTGGTTTTGCGGAACTTCGCCGGTTTCTCTGAGGGCACCCACCTAGAGTCACCAGGCAGCACTACACTTCGCGTCTGGGTGCCCTGGGTCTCAGCCAGAGGCTCAATCGCACACCCCAGTGCCCAAATCTCCTGCACTGGAGCGGTGATTGATGTGCGCGTCGAACCTAGTCTCCAGCCCCGGGGGCTTAGCGACCCTCCCCCAGGGATAAGAAGGAGGAGGGGGTCCTCCCCGAGGGTCCGTGCCGGGGCAGCAGGGCCCCTGCAGCCCCAGTGGGAGCCGCGTGGGACCGGCGAGCCCAGGGTTCCAGACCGGGAAGTTGGGGTTCAGCCTCCTGAGGGTGGGCGGCTGTGGAAGAGCGCAGACGGCCGGGAGGCAGGCAGGCAGCGGCTGCGGAATGGACCTCTCTCTTTCGGCAGATGCCTGGGGGATGGGGAGCCCATAGAAGGGGGCTCGAGCAGGGAGCGTATTCCGCCCCCCCTGCACCCCAGCCATGGTACGGCTTTAAAATCCTGCGGAGTTTGTCATAGGCCGGCCTCACCACGCATGCGCAAAGGCGAAGTTGAGTTTTTTTTTTTCCCCCTTTCTTTTCTCCCCCCTTCCCTCTCTCTTCCAGCCGCCTTTGGTTCTGCAACTTAAAAAAATTTTTTCCTCCCCCCCCCCCGAGAACAGCAGGGGAAAGAGGAGTCCAGAGAGAGGGAGAGAGAGGGAGGCAGTTGGCGAGGAGGGCCAGGGGGTGGGCGGGGGGGGACGCGGTCCCTGCGGTCAGTCAGTCTGCGGGGCACAGATCCCGTGGAAGGCTGCTGCGAGCTCCAAGGCGGCCGCCTCTGCTGCCCGGAGTCCGGTGCTGTGCGGCCGCCGCCGAGCGAGCTCCTCCCGCCGCCGCCGCCGCCGCCGCCGCGCCCCCGACCGCCCGCCGCCCGCCTGTTCGCTCGCCCGCCCCTGGGGCCCCGGCGCCAAACGAGGAGGTGGGCAGCCGCGCCGGCCATGGACCGCCAGAACTGAGCAGCCGCGTCGGAGCCCCTGGCCCTCGCCCCTCCCTAGCCCCACGCTCGCGGTGCCCTCGCCCCTCTTCGCCCTTCGCCCAGGAAAGGCGGGGAGAAGACGGGGATTAACCCGAAGAGAGAAAAGGGAGTGGGAAGGGGGGGAGCCAGCGTCTCCCCTGCGGCGATCGCCCATCGCCCCCCCACCCCGATTCCATCGCGCGCAGAACTTTCGGGGGACAACTTTTACCCATTTTGCGCCCCCTTTTTGCCACACCGTAAAATGAAAGGACAAAAGTTGGCTCTGATTCTTGCAGCTCCGATGGCGACTTGTGCATTTTCAGCGGCATCTCCCGGAGAAAAAGCCCTGCGCGCCTGATTGTTCTGAGGCCCCAAAGATTCAGTGTTGGGGGTGGGTGGGGGGGGGCTCTGTGTGGGTGTGTGTCTGTGTGTGTACACAGACGTCCACACACTCCCTCGCAGCCGCAGGATCAGCGCCTGGAAGCAGACGTTTCGGCCACAGACTTGGAGAGGAGGAGCTGGAGATCGGGAGGCGTGAGCCGCCGGGAGTTTGCAGAATCCGTGGTGTGAACGAACTGGGGGCACCTGGGCGCGCGGATCGCCCCCGCCCCCGCCTCGGGCTAGAGTTGAGTAGTGGGGGCATTTTTTTCACCCTCTTGTGAAGAATTTTTTTTTTTTATTATTTGTTGTAAAGTCTTTTGCACAATCACGCCCACATTTGGGGTTGGAAAGCCCTAATTACCGCCGTCGCTGATGGACGTTGGAGAGGGAGCGCCTCGCCGCGGAACAGTCGCCTGCACGCCCTCGCCGGACCCGCGGCTCCCTTGTTGCGCGCCGGCCCGGCTTTGCCTTTGCTGCCGACCGACAGGCTTCGGCGCCCCATCGGTTCCCGAGCGCATCCCGGCGCTACTCCGGCTCGGGCCCCCAGACTTGGGCGCCAGTGACTGCTTTGCCTGTGATTTCCTGCGCCTGCCGGACGCGCCCAGGAGGAGTCCGAAGCTCTGCGCCGGATCGTCCCCCCAGGCTTAACCCGGCGGCTCTGCTCGGATTCCTCGGCTGCCCTCGCTCTAGTGGCGACTTCCTCCCCGCAGCCGCGTCCCCTCCCCCTCGCCATGAAGGTAGGTGTTCTGTGCGCTGCCAACGCTCGCCACTTTTTTTTCTTTACTTTTTTTCTTTTGGAAGTTAACTGACTCCCCCCCCCCCCCCCCACCTCTTCCCTATCCCTCCATTTCTCCTACTGCCCCCAGAAGCTGAAACTCCTGCGTAGCTGGCAGGGACCTCTACCCCTTTGCCCACGGCCGAACCCCTTCGCGCACTGCCGGTCTCCCCGGAGACTTCTTGTCCCACCAAAAGTTCTGCAAACCTTTTAGACTTTGGGGGGGAAAGGAAGGATGAGCCAGGGCAGAAAAAAAGCGGTTCACGGATGACTTTCCTTTTGCCCTGAGAAACACCGGTGTAAGTTATTATGTATATTTCAGTAACAGGATAATGACTCAATTCAACAAATATTTACGAAGCGCCCACTGCGCGGGCACCGAGAGGGTGTGTGGCCGGGGCTCGGAAAGGGGAGGAAGACTCCTTGGTTGGGAGACCGGGCTGCAGGACTAGGAGCCGACACCCCAGAGCAGTGCACCGCCCCCTCTTCTCTTGTCCTCTGCTGCCGGAGGCCAGGTTGCAGGCTCGTCGCGCCCGGCCGAGGGAATCCTAGAGCTGCAGGCCTGTTCCTTTAAGAATGCCTGGTGGGGGGCCAGCGCGCACCCCGGCGCGGGAGCCGGGTTGCGTTATTAGCATTATTAGCCGCCACTGGGTGAGCTCAAGCCCTTTGCCGCGGTGATGGGGGCGGGGAGTGCTGGCAGTGGTGGCTTTAATCCTGTCCGCTGGGAGAGCGCACCCCGGCCCCCTGCGCGGAATCTGCCTTGTCCTTTGGAAACATTTGGGCCTCCGCATTGGGAGAGCGAGCGGGAGGCAGTTTGTGAACTCTTGTTTGTTTTAATTGTCAGTTGTATGTTAAAGCCGAGTCACACACTCCGAGGGTCACCGGGAGTTCACTTTTGCGAAAAGTTAACATTTCTTCCTGCAATATAACTTGTTATTTTCCAAACAACTTCTCTGTCCTCCAAGCGTCGATCCTTAGTTCCACTCTTCTTGATCTCTATGTTACTTTTCTAGAAAATAAGGATGGAATTAGAAGTAAGATGTTTCCTAAATCAAACAAATCCCCCCCTCCACTCCCCACCAAAAAAAAAAAAGTTTAAAAAGAACCCGAAACCTGGAGACCCCGCGGCCTTGTTTTACTTTCCAATTCCAGTTTGGCATCGGGGCCCCCTTCTCCCCTCGCGTCTTTAAATGGACAATTCGCTGTTTTGGAAGTCACTTGGAGCCTGGGTTGGGAGCGCACCTCCACAGCCCCTGCCCTCCCGCCAATATTCAGGCTGCTCCAGCCTGATCTGGAGATTTCGTTTCTAGAAAGCCTCTGCCAGGGGAGTTCCGAGTGGGCAACGCTGAGTGCGCGGAAGCGATGGAGAGGCCGCGGAAATTCTGTCCGAGTGCGTAGATCCGTGCCCTGCGTGTGGGGGGTGGAGGAGTAAAGGGTCAGTTGTTCTCGGGTCTTGGGCTTACTAGCCTTCGTCCCGCCCGGCCCCACAAAGGAGGACCCTCCCCAGGAGGACTGGCCCGGGAGTCCCAAGTCTTTCCCTTCTCTCACCGGAGCGCCTCGGTGCACAAGGGGTTAGCACCGCGCGCGCTGAGCTCTGCTCGTCCCGCTGCCTTTTCATCCTCGCCGTGCGGTGCCGGCTGCCCCCTGTTGGCTGCCTGGAGGTAGGACACCTGGGAGTCTGTTCCTTGGGGCGGACCCGCCAGCCGCTCTCCTCTCCCTCCCACCTCTGGCTCCGTTCGTCCTTCCCGACCACCAGCTTCTCTCCTCGGAGGGCCCATCCGAGGCACCCAGAGGACAAGTTGCAATGAGCGGCCGCCTCCGTGAGGAAGGGGCCAGAGATCCGGATCCAGCAAACTGGGCTGGGGCGTGTGGAGGAAGGGTTTACCTCCAACCGGGACGTAACAACCGGAGCGTCGCCCTAGGAGGCCTAGGGTCCGGATTTGGCGCTCTCGCCCGTGCTGTCTGTGGGAGGCGACAAGTGTTGCTTTCCCTTTCTCGGGGCCTCAATTTTCTCGTCTATTAAAAAGTGGAGTTGAAACAGCTTCTGAAGGATAGGGTTGAACTGATCTTTAATTTTCTTTCTCCTTCCACTGGACACTATGTTCTTCCTCTGGATAGAGTTGAGAACCTGTGTATGAAGGTGGAAGTGATACGTGTGTGCGAGAGGAAGAAAGAGAGAGGCTTGGCGTCTGAAGAGACTTGTCCTGGGGATGGAGGTGGGGAGACAGGGAGACAGCTGGGCTTGGCCAGGGTTCTGCCTTTGGAGAGTCCGTGTTACAGGACCAGCGGTTCAGTCCTGAGCCTGGGCAATCCTTGCACTGATTTGGGCGCAAGGAGCTCCCTCCACCTTCTCTGTCCGGCTTCCCTACACCCCTCCCCCTACACACACACCACACACTTGCAGCGCTGTGGACACCATATGGCAGCGGCGAGGGGCGGCCTGGACACCCCCTCCCCTCGCCCAGCCACCGAAGCAGACCTCCAGTCCGCTCGGCTTGCTTTAAATCCTTGCGCTCCGCTTCTCCCCGCATTTCCTGGGGCAGGGCGTCCCAACGTTGTGGTTGCAGCCCCTTTATCCTACGCACTTTTCCCTGTTTCTCTCCTTCAAGGAGAGATCACAGTGGGGAAGACAACGTTTATTTCCCACCAAGAGCTGAGATTCTTGGAGTTTCCTATCCTTTTAGCCACCTTGAGCTCGGTTCAGACATTTCTGACTCCTCGCTGGTCTTTACCCATCATTGCTATTCTCGAAGACTTGGGGGAGGGGGGACTCTGGGCGCAAAAAGCCTGGTGTAAGGGGATGTCCAGACCGAGTGAGGGTGACCAAGGGTGACCGAGTGACCAAGGGTGGAGAATCTTCTCCCTGCCTTTGCGGAATTTCTCTTTAGGGGCGGTGGGATGGAGGAATCGGGTGCTGCGCCTCCTTAGGACGCTTTCTTTGGCCCGGGAACCTCTTCTAACCAGAGTGATGGTTTCCTCTCTCTCTCACTCCTCTTCACCTCCCCCCCCCCCCCCCCCCCCCCGCCTGCACCCCAGTTGATTAAGAAGGTTTAGGCACACCTTCAATGCAAATGCAAGGGCTTTGGAGGAGATACCGAGTTGAGCTGCGCTGGCTTTGGAAATAAGGGCACACAAACGCCCTACCCCCACTTCACTCCTTCCTTGCGCTAGAACCTCTCAAGTGCCCCAAGTCCCCCTCCCTATCACATGCTAGGAACACATTCTGAGGATCCCTACGTAAGTGGGTTTCCCGGCGCCCTGAAAGTGTCCGAAAACATTCAGTCCCTTCTTTGGTAAACTCAGCCTTCTGCCCAGAACTTTTGTTTTAGCCCCGGTGTGACAGTCTCAGGAGAGGTCTCGTTTTGTACGGTCTTTTCGGATCAGATCTCTTGGTAGACAGGCGGGAGTGTTTACCCTACAGAGTCAATGTATTTATTAGTTCGCTGTCGGTTCTTTCAGCCCTTCAAACTTGTGGGGCCTTTTTTGGGGGTTGGAGTGGGAAGAAGGCCAAGGTGTTTCCGGGCAAGCGCGCGGGGTTAAGTGGAGACGAGACTCGAAGGGCTCTCCTGCCCATCCCCTTTGGGACACTTCTGACCCATCTATCCCCAGTCTGGAGCTGGGGAGACCGAGTCTCGGAGATCCAGTGGCCCACTTCTAGTTGGGAACGGGCGGACTCGCCCCGGGGTCTTCCGGCCCAAAGTCGGTTCGGCTTGTGTGGCTTCGCCTCTAACAAAGAGATCTGCTGTAATCCGCCGAATCTGTTATCAATTTCTCCGCTGCCCGCGCCCTGCCCCGCGCGCCCCGCCCGTCGGGAAGCTCAGAAAGTGCGCGCGGCCAGCAGCCCTCTCCGCCGGCGTCTCGGAAGCACGCCGGTGCGTGTGTGTCTGTGCATGTGTTTGCGTGTGTGAATGTGTATGAGTGTGTTGCGTGTGCGCGCGCGCGCGCGGCCTTGGCCACCGAGGGGAGAGAGTCGATTTTGCAGTCTGGGCCGCGCGCGAAGGCAGACCTCGCAGCCCACCCCCTCCCCTGGAGGAAACTTGACACTTCGGACGGGGGTGGGGAGGGAGACCGAGCCTTCTCTTTCCTAGGCTGGGGAAACCCCAGGTTCTACTCTCCGGGTTGCGCCTCTCGCTTTTCGGCGTTTGGAGAATGAGTGGGCCAAGGGCTCAGAGCCCTGGTTAGCGGGCGCTGGGGACCACAATAAGCATTTTCCCTCGCAGAAGCCCCGAGCTGTCCTGGTCGAAAGGACGGCGGGCTGGGAAAAGCCTTGGCACACTCCTGGGCTCCTACGCGTTTCTAAGGCTGCCTCGGTCCTCTCTGCCCCTTTGAGGCGCACGTTCCAGGCCCTTCTGTCGCCCGAAGGAGGCTCACCGTTCCTTTCCCGAGGAAAGGGCTCCCTGGGGGCTGCGGGCGGTGCAGCGGGTTACCCTTATCAGAAATGTAAAAGGGGATTTTGGAAACCCGCTCCTCCCACCGGCACCCGCCACTGTCTCGCGCCGCCGCCGCCTACAGGTGGAGAAGTCACCAGTGGGGAGGAACGGCAGCGAAAGCTTCCAAGGCCTCCCCCTGACCCCGAAATTCTTCTCGACGGGAACCTTCATCGCCTGGGCCCTCCGTGCCCTGCAGTCCAGCGGCTCAGCCGCCGCGGAAGCCGGCGCGTCTCTGGCCCGGCCGAGGGCTCGCTCGAACCGGCGCTGGCCTCGCCCTGCACCCACACCCTTCGGGGCTTCCCGAACCGAGTCTGAATTGGGCTGGAGGGTGGGGTGGGGGTATTCTAAGGCCAGGCTCACTGTGCCGCGATGGCGAAGTGGCCGACACCACCAGACCAGAACCAAAGCAAACTGGAATCGCCCTTGGCTTCCTTTCCTCCTTCTCCGTGGCAGCTGCCAGGAGTGGGGACAGAAGGGAGGCGGGAGGGAGAGCGAAATGAAAAACTCAGAATTTGTGGGAAGGCAGGGAAGAGATCCGCTCCCACAACAGTGGGACCCGGACCCCCTTGTTTCCTCGAGGGTGCTGTCCCTTCCCTGGAGTACGCGGAGTCCGAGGAGGAGCCCGCAGGCAAGGGAGGGGGCACCGTTTTCGGTTTTCTTGGTTGAGAAAGCCGATCTCTCTCTCTCTCCGTTTTCCCTCTTGCCCCCCATCTTCCCCCCCCCCCCCCCCGCCCCACTCCATTCTGGCTGAAGAGTATCCTAAGGAAACCCAGGTTGCCCTTCCCCCTCTGGAAGTGGCTTCCCCCAAAGCGGCCTGTAAACTGATTATGAAACATACGCTGTTAATTCCGAGTTGCATTTCCCAGCTGGGCACTCTCGCGCAAGCTGCTCCCCGGGGCCTCGCCCCCCCCCCCCCCCCCCCCCCCCCCCCCCCCCCCCCCCCCCCCCCCCCCCCCCCCCCCCCCCCACGAGCAGGCCACCCCGCCTCCTCCACAGCCGCCGGTGGCGCGCTCCACTCGCCTCCGCGCTCCTCTCGCCCATGGAATTAATTCCGGCTCCACTTGTTGCTCGGCCCAGGTTGGGGAGCGGACGAGGGTGGCGGCGGGTTCCCGAGTGAATTCCTTCCGAGGAGGGACCCAGCGCAGCGCGGACTAGAGGGGAGCGAGGGGGTGCGGGAAGAGAACGAGCAGGAAAGAGGCAGCGCTTGGCACCGGGGCTTTGACTCAACAGCATTGAGACATGTTTGTAATCGCTGGCGTGCCCCGCGCTCAGGATCCCAGCGAAATCAGATTTCCTGGTGAGGTTGCGTGGGTGGATTAATTTGGAAAAAGAAACTGCCTATATCTTGCCATCAAAAAACTCACGGAGGAGAAGCGCAGTCAATCAACAGTAAACTTAAGAGACCCCGGATGCTTCCGTTGTTTAAACTTGTATGCTTGAAAATTATCTGAGAGGCAATAAACATCTGCTCCTTTCTTCCCTCTCCAGAAGTCGATTGGAATATTAAGCCCAGGAGTTGCTTTGGGGACGGCTGGAAGTGCAATGTCTTCCAAGTTCTTCCTAATGGCTTTGGCCATATTTTTCTCCTTCGCCCAGGTTGTAATAGAAGCCAATTCTTGGTGGTAAGTTCCTTCTAAGTACATATTCTTTACTTTACTTTATTTTTTTTTAAAGATTCATTTGTATGATGCTGTGGTTTTTAGAGCTGAATGGTGAATTTGAGACCACTTATCTAATGCGTATGTACATAGTATATTTTATTTATATATTTGGAAATCAGAATTTTCTTTTAACTTGTTAATATTGTCAAGCTTATCTTTAGTTCCATAGGGAACGGGAGCCTATAAATCTACGCCTTTTTCTGTGAGGCCCTTGTTCAGATGTATGCTTGTAGTACATCATGTAATAAAAGGGAACTGAAACGCACTTCTCTAATAATTGTAAGCCTATCTATAAAATTTACTTTTTGCCACCTCTAGGTAGTAAAAGTGAGTTCCAGCTTTTATTTTCTGTCACTTGAGGTTATTAACCTTCAGGGTCTGAAGTAGGCAGAGTTGTAGGAAGACAGCTAACCTCCAAGTGGGGAAGTATTTGCGCTGGAAATTTGATCGAAAGGAGGTTAACTTGAAGTAGTCAAATGTCCCTAAATGAGGGGTTCTTTCTGGTTAGGGGCCTTGTAGATCAACTGCAGTATATCCAGAGGATTATTTCTGACGGCGTTCTGGATATTTTTTCCCTGCAAATGAACAGCGTTTTTCTGACTGTCAAACATGACTTGTATTCACTGGATACCCTGTCTTGGGTCTTTCACAATCACATAAGGAGCCCTTTTAAAATGTCCAGAACACGGTGGATTTTCTCCAGTCTCTATATTTGTCTCAGCGTCCTTCCATCAATCAGAAGGAACTGCTATCTCCTCCCCGTGTCTAATTGTGTCTACTTTCGGCATTCATACGTTTGCAAAGGCAGATCGGTCCAATTTGTGGGGCAAAGTGAGTCACTTTCTCTAATGTCAGAGGCCCATCCCCAAAACCGCCATTTCCCTCTTTTCTGAGCGCATTTCGGAAATATTGGTTCAGGTATATGGCAAGGAGGGCACGGAAGGGAGTGAAAGCCTAGCTGAGGAGCCAGATGGCCGGGTGGGGACTATACAATACCTCCGTTTTCTGAGTGCAGTTTAAACAGAGAAGTTTTATGAAGCCCTTCTCCTACTTTGTCATGAGGACAAGCAGGAGAGAAAAAGCATCTGTGTGCTTAAAACTATGTATTGCTGACATGCTTTCAGGGGGCCTACCTCGAGAGTTCACGTAAATCTTGAATGCACATCTCCCCCCCTTTTTAGGTCGCTAGGTATGAATAACCCTGTTCAGATGTCAGAAGTATATATCATAGGAGCACAGCCTCTCTGCAGCCAACTGGCAGGACTTTCTCAAGGACAGAAGAAACTGTGCCACTTGTATCAGGACCACATGCAGTACATCGGAGAAGGCGCGAAGACAGGCATCAAAGAATGCCAGTATCAATTCCGACATCGAAGGTGGAATTGCAGTACCGTGGATAACACCTCTGTTTTTGGCAGGGTTATGCAGATAGGTAGGAAACCATTTCACATATTTTTAATATAGGCCAATGATTCTCCTGGAAAAAGGCTTTATTTAGTGCTTACTGACAAGCTTGATAAGGAGGGGAATCTTTCCAGCAGGGTGCTGGTTGGGAATTTTTGTCTTTATTGCTGCTTGCTTTCATTCCTGTCCTCACACCTGATTGTAAGTTTTGGGCTTTTTAAAAACCAAATCAGAAGGGAAACATCAAAGACACCCCTGTGTTTTCTGAACACTTGATTTTTCTAAAAAGCATTTTGTTTAAAATAGAAGCAGAACACTTATTTTGGTTTCTCAAAAGTGGATGAGGAAAGCTGAGTCATTTATATCCTTTTAAACTTTAAAACTCTTGTAACTGTTAGAAGTTTCGTAAGCCACAATTCAAATGGCCCAAGCATCAAACTAAATACTGTCCTCTTTCGAATGCTGGATACATTGGAAGTGAATAAGGTTTTAATTTTCCTAATATAGATATTTCCTGAGGCTATAGATGTATATATGTTAAAAAGCTTTATTTTTAGTACCAGAAAGAATTTTAATTAGAAGTGATCCAATTTACATTGTGATTTTGACAATTGATATAAAAGCACATCCTTCAGATCTCAACCTAGAAACTTTAAAAAAAAAAATCTTACATGTATTGCTCAGATTCTTTATATTAAATGTATCATTGAACTTGTTATTCCCTGCAGGGAGGAGGTGGCATTAAAATTGGGCTAAAGGCGAAGAATTTGGAAAATCAGTTTGCCTTTGGTTTGCTTTAATAGCATAGGATGCTATCTGAGAGATGTGATCCTATGTGTGTTTTCTAGTGTGAATATTGTAGGTCCATTTAGTTTTATGCAAACAAGCCCTTATAATTAATATGACTGCGGTGATTCCTAAAATAAGAAGCCATTTATCAAAGCAATTAACTGTTTAGACTGACTGAAGATAAAAAAAAAAAAGTTGGCTTAATATCCGTCACGGATGGATAAAATGCTTTTTTAAAAACCCTGAAAAGTGCATTCATTGAGAACAAAAAAGAGTTGTCAGTGGATGTTTGAGCCAAGCGACTTCATATACTAAAATAATACAGGACTGGAAGCCATTCCTTTAATTGAATGGGAAAATGGTCTGCAGCCTCAGCCTGCAGTTTCATAGGGCTTTGTCCTTCCTGTTAATGATTAAAATGTGCTAATGTATATACTGGGATCTGAATCTAGAAGTTGAGCGTCAGGAACACAGGAGCTTTCCTTGACATGGAGTGCCCTGTGTAGTTAGCTGGGGGTGTGGTGGAGATTCCGTTTTGCATTTTGATATTGTGAGTAAGTTCAGAACTTTTTTTTTTTTTTTTTTTTTTTTTTAGCGGTATCAGAATGGTAAGTTGTCAGCTTTCCCTTCCCACCTTTGCTTTCCCCCTATCCTGCCTTCCTCTCACACTCTGGGGGCACTTTTTCACATGTATATGAGTTAGCAACAATCATACATTTTTGATGATAGCCAAGAAGCAAAACAGCAATTGGAAAGGTTTTCTGTGTAGTCTCTTGAACACAGCGTTGATTTAAGATCCTCGTCTTTTCTTCATATGTAGCCTGTTTGGGGCCAAAGGGTTCAGAATAAGCTATCATTTGCTAAGTGGATTTAAGTTCTGCTGGAGATTTATTTAAAATGTGGTCCAAGATTTCAAAGGGCCTGCTTCCTCAGGGAACACGCAGAACCTTTGGTACAAAGGCTTATATTTAATCGTCCCTTGCGGATATGTTCTCTGGTCCTCAACTGTGTGGTGTTCCCATCCGGGTTGGTGGTAAGTGTGTCCCAGGAGAACCCCCTGGCAGCCTCCAAGGGAGCCCTGCTAGATGCCACCGTCAAGTTAGCTGATGTCCTGGGCATCTGAGAACACATTCTCCTTTGCCAAAAGTCCCCCAGGTGCCTGGGGTCTCCCAGCACCGGAAGCTGCTGCTGGGTGGTTTGCAGTGGAAAGGCTGATGGGGCCTTCTCTTCTATTTATTTAAAAAAGAGATGGAGAGAAGAAAAACCAGAATAGATTTTTGTGGAAGGGGAACATGGACCCAGCCTCAATAGTGGGAAATTTACTTGGCTTTCACTTTTCTATTTGCGAGTCTCTTTGAAGAGAATGAGCTAAGGGAAAATTTAAAACAACTTTGTTGCTGAAAGGTGTGTGTGTGCATGTGTGTGTGTGCACGCATGTGTGCGCGCGCACATCCCCCCCTCCAAAGCACTTAGTACACCAGGGACATGGAGAGCAGTTCCTATCTATGAGAATTTGACCCTGTGATGGGGCCAGTGTCTGAGAAACTCACACTGCCATTTCCATCCCTCTTCAACTCATTTTTCTAGGGTGCCAGTTGCCTGGGAGGCTCTGTATACAATTGCCTCTGTGAAGGGCCCACTCTTCATTTTGGAAACTTTCTCATTTTTCATCATGCTACCCTTTCCTCCAGCTTTTGTCTCCGTCTCTTCTTTGTCTCCACACTGTGAAAAGATATGTAAGAAAGGCTCCATTTTGAAGGGGCGTGAGGGTCCGAATAGATGTGGATTTCACAGGGAGGGAAGCCTAACTGAACCAGCAGTGTTCCACCCAGGAAGACTGTGCACAGGCTATTAGCCAAAGAGCACTTTTCAAACTGACGTTTTCCCTGCAGTGACCAATTAGCTTAGAGATTTCTACCAGTGTGTGTTCCAGGGCAAAAAAGGAAATGCTCAAGGTAGACTCATGGAAAAAAAGCAGCATTATTGTGTTTTGTATAAAAGCCCTTTTATGCACTATCTACTCACAGGACACTGTCTTATTTTCTTCTATCTCCAGAGGACTCTTTGTGTCTTCCACTGGCTACTGCCTTGTTCTACAAGTGTCCTATCCAGGGACTGTGCTATCAGTGTTAATCCTCAAATAACTTCCTAGAATCTGCCTGCCCACCTCATATCTCTCCACTCCCTCATGTTCCTGCCTCTTTCATTTGAGCTAGATAGACCTAACACTCTTCAGGAACATTCTGGATCCTCTGGCCAGCCACCAGCACACTCCTCAGGTTATTCATATTTAAAACTGAGGGTGAGAAGGTCTGTGGTAAGTGGGAGTCTTCACTGTTCCTGCAAGGAGGAATCACAGATGGTGGTGCATTGAAATGTAGAGCTGGACTGCAAGAGAAAGGCCGCCCCTGGGCCCTGGGATTGGCATAGCCATCCTCCTCAGCCTGCTTGGGGCTGAGTCCTGCCGTCAGCTGTTCTGATGCTGCACCTCCCCCCCCCCCCCAAAAAAAAAGATTGTTAGCAAGCACTTTAAGTATAGGAGCAACTTATTCTCCTACAGGGATTTCAGGGCCAGAAGGGGCCTTTTTCTTTTTTTTTTTTTTTTTTTAACCTAGGTACTTAGTTCAATACCCTCATTTTATAGCTGAGGGAAATGAGCCCCCCACCCCTAGGACACCCCTCAGGCCCAGCTTCAACTGGCAGGGTGTTAACCCTTTCTTTCTCCTAGCACATTTTTATTAAGTGGCTTCTTGTTACACATGGAAATGTCTCCATGGACAAGTGGAAATTAATGATTGCCTCCATTGTCCTCCTGACAGGGCTCCTCTATCAGTGTTTTACAGGGAAGTATTCTTTATAAGTTTTGGGGAAGGAGAAGACGTTTCTTTTTTCCTTCTCCCCCGAGATTGAGCTTTTTCCCTTCTTGCTATTATTCCAAAACTTTGAGGCAGAAGCTATGGGGCCCAGGGGGAGGGGGTTGCTGAAGTAGCATCAAAGACAGCAGGCTGTTTTAAAAGCAGACCTCCATCTTCCAGAAGAAGTTACCAGGCTAACTTGGAATTTTAGAAGAGGCACGTTTCACCACAGTACTCTAAAAACAGGTTCAGAAATGTCCTCTGGGGAAGTCAGGAGCCCTGCCTCAGACAGGCGCCCAGGCTGCGCGATGGCGGAGGGGAGCCAGGCCACAAGCTGCTGCAGCCTCTGCGTCCCAGGGCCCGAGATTTCCAGAGGCTCTAAGCCTGGCAAATCCCGTGCTCCTGCCTCAGGTAACTCGAGAGGACGCCGAACGTTAAAATAAGTGTAAGGAAGTCTCCCCACATTCTCTTCGCCCTCCATGACTTGTTTCGTGTGCCTTTTGGGGAGTAAGTTTCCGGGATTTTCAGGAGCTGTAGGGAAAACCACGCGCCGTCGTCGGGCCCCTCAGTGCGAGAGCAAAGACGTCAGGGGGGCGCCGCTCGCATCACTTGCCGCCGCTGCGTGTTGGGGCGGCTCCCCCGGCTCCCCCTGACGCGGAGGGCGCGGCCCGGGTGGGGGTGCTGGGGCCGGGGCGCCCCGAGCGGGGCCGCGGGCACGCGCCCGCTGACCCCGCGTCCCGCCCACAGGCAGCCGCGAGACGGCCTTCACGTACGCGGTGAGCGCCGCGGGGGTGGTGAACGCCATGAGCCGCGCGTGCCGCGAGGGCGAGCTGTCCACCTGCGGCTGCAGCCGGGCCGCGCGCCCCAAGGACCTGCCGCGGGACTGGCTGTGGGGCGGCTGCGGCGACAACATCGACTACGGCTACCGCTTCGCCAAGGAGTTCGTGGACGCGCGCGAGCGGGAGCGCATCCACGCCAAGGGCTCGTACGAGAGCGCGCGCATCCTCATGAACTTGCACAACAACGAGGCCGGCCGCAGGGTGAGTCCCGCCCCGCCCCGGGCCCTTCGTGGGTCCCCCAAGCTCCGCAGCTCCCCGCAGCCTTCGGTCCTGCCCGGTGCCGCCCCTCCGGGTGCACCTGTCCCTGTGTCTCTCTGCGTCTGCCTCCTTCCTTCCCTTTCTGACTGTCTCGGGTCGCTTTCCCTCTCTGTCTGCTCCCCTGTCTCGCCCTCTCCTCCTCTCTTTTCCTTCCCTTCCTCCGGGCCCGCCGCACCTACACATGGGCCTCTCTGGAGAGGGGTGCACGCCCCAGAAAGGCCTCCTGAAGGTGAATCATCCCGCCCTGGCCCCCTCCAGCAAAGGTGCTCCTGCAGTCGCCCGAGAAAGAGCTTTCTCTGCTCTTTGTAATTAGTCCCCAGTGCAGTTGGGCAGCCCAGCTCAGAAATAAAAATGTGAATAACGTTCACCTTCCTCCCTGGAACATGTTTGTGGTTGGGCTTAAATTTGGGAGAGGGAGTTATTTATCCCAGTAGGTACCCGGTGGACGGTGGAGAAAGCCCTCACCTCAGCTTCCAGAACTTACCTTTTTGCTTACTTGCTTTCTCCTTGCCCCTTGTGTCATTACAAAGCAGGCCTGAGGGATTGAGGGTTTTGTTTTGTTTTAAGAGTTTTTCTAGGAAAACTAAGGCATTTTTAGCAGTGTGGAATTTTATTGGTCTGACCATCAGGCCAATCGAGGGTGGCTGTGGATAGAAGGGAGAGCCACTCAGAAGTGCCCAGAGAGACCAGCTTTGCAAGCCCTCACCAGCCTTCTGGGTCCACTCTTTCCTTCCCCTGGTGGGAAGCTTCTCCACAATAGTTAAAAAGACCCTTTTTTCCTGTGGTTAAACACATGGCACTTTATGGCTGCTTTAAAATGAAGGGGTGAAACTTTTCTTAACTTTGGCAGCATTGAAAACCAGGGCCATTATTTTTTCACAGAATCCAAGGTAGGTGCCAGGAACTTTCTGGTCAGAGATTTCACTCTTCTGTATTTTGGGGTGAGGAAAAGGGAAGATAATCACAGAGTAAAATACAGAGGACTGGGAGGAGCCTTAGAGACCTCTAACCGCACACCCTCATTTTTAAAGCTCGGGAAACTGAGGCCCTAGAGAACCACTTCATGGCCATGGAGGAAAATTGATGGATTGCGATACAGGCCGAGGCGTGTTTTTATTAAAGTCGTGCGTCACGGCTCAGGGGTAAAGGGCTATAGGTTAAATTCCAGTTCTGTTCCTTTCTGTGCATGAGCCTCAGTTTCTACGTTTCTACATCTGTTGGATGGCCGTGGCATGAACTGCCACTTAGGGTTATGTGTGTTATGTGAGGACTAGCAGGGACCGTATAGTAGGTGGATCCAGATGAGGTTACCAATACTTGACTATCTCTGACCAGTTCAGTAAGTTTCTCGTGGTTCAATCCAAGGGCTGAACAGCTTACTGTCAGCCTGCATAAGCGCTTGATAAAAATCATAAGTTAATGGTTACACATTATGAAGCAGAGAGCAGAGAAGTCAAAGATGATCTAGATAGTTCCAGCTAACCTAGCTGCTTCTTCTCAGATTGATGATAAACATTTGGAGGTGTTGGGGAAGGGCTAAACTTCGCAGGGTTTTGCCCTTGGTGCCCTGAAGAGTCAAATTATTGCTCCGGAGGGCAGCTCTTACCCCTCCTTTCTCAAGCCTCCTGTTGCTGTGGTGCCTGCAATGTGGCTGGACTCCATCTCCCCCACTGCAGCCGACCAAGGCCACAGAATGGGCGTGTCAGCCCCGTGTTCTGTGGAAGCCGGTAAAGCTCGCCCCTGTCCTCACAGGGCCATGTCACATTACCCTGTGCATACAGTGTGCTCAGGGCCTCAGACCAGACGTGCCTCCAGGACAGACATGTGGTTGACTCTTCTGGGCTCCATTGTGCCCATATTTGGGACTTTCATCCATTTAGGGGATTTCTTTGACTTCTCTCATGAAGAGAAATCATCAGGGGCTTAGCAACCAAGGAGAGAAGGTCAAGGGATTTCCAAGTAGAGAGAGGGGGTTTTGGAGAGTTGGAAAAGGCACCTTTAATATTAGACTTTCATTGAACCTCTATATTTTTTTAAATGTTTATTTTTGAGAGAGAGGGAGAGAGAGAGAGAGAGCAAGATACTGTGAGCAGGGGAGGGGCAGAGAGGGAGGGAGACACAGAATCCGAAGCAGTTTCCAGGCTCTGAGCTGCCAGCACAGAGTCCGGTGTGGAGCTTGAACTCAGAAACTGAGATCCTGACCTGAACTGAAGTCCGGTGCTTAACTGACTGAGCCAAGCAGGCACCCCTAAAATCTACATTTTTAAATAATGAATGAATTCTTTTTGTAAGTTTTATAATCTGAGCCGTGAGCTGAAGTTGGATCCTGGCAGATGAGGTTACACAGAAGACAGTTTTTCTCCAGGACAGTAGGGGCAGGGAGGAGGAAGTTTGGACCCTGTGCCAGGAAATCATATTAGAATTTCCTCGGGGCATTAGCTTTTATTTTTGTCAAAGGGGAGCAAAGGTTAAATACATCTGCAAAACCCTTCTGCACATTAGCTGAGTGCCTGAAACCTTTATGCCAGGGGAGTACTTTTTGCCCCCCCCCCCCATTTTTTAAAATAGCCCGTTATGAATCCTTATAGGAAGAAGGGAGCTGTTCTGGGTGGAAGGGGCCTTCTAGCTCACTCCAGCCTCCAGGTTCCTGACAAGCCCTCTGTAGCCCGCGAGGACCGCTCTGAAGGGGAGGAGGGGGACCTGGCACAGGAACTGTGGGTAGTGGGAACTATTAATAGGCACCCGCCACCTCCCAGACAGCTGGGCACAGTGCTGTGAGGCGAGGCCAGTGGGCACTGCTCCTGGGAGGCCGAGGTGACAGGGTGAGAGCCTAGGACTAGCACCCAATGCCAAGCACTCGTCACCCTGGGAAAGACCAGATTTACTGGTCGCATCAGATTGTATGCTCAGCACTTTCCTTGCATCTCCTAATTTTATCCTTATGATAGTGTTGTGAGGTTGGTACCATTACAGTGCCCTTTACAGTGAGAAAAAGGAGGCTCTGAAAGGTGAATCCAGTTGCCTGAATTCAGGGGCAGAGTTAGGACAAATCTCCCATCTGCCCAGGTCTGGCGTGGGTGCTCCTGGCTTAGGCAGTGTGAGGTGGGGTTCGGGACTCTGCAGGAAGCGGGAGTGAGAACCTGAGGTCCAGGCCCTGTTCTTCCACCTCCTAGCTGTGAGGCCCGGGCCGGCCACTTTCCCTCTCTGCGTCACTGTGCCGTCATGTAACCCAGCCTGTGTTATGTTGTTTGGGAGGGTTAAATGAGATAAACAGTATAAAGGCTCTTAGTACAGTGTCTGGCACACAGCAGTCATAGTGATGAAGATGTGAATCCTGATCCCACCTGGACTAGACCCCTCCCAGCCCTCCTTCCTACTTAACAGATAGGTTGCCCATGGGCAAGTCACTGAGCAAGAGCTTAGAGCCCAACTGTCTTGAGGTCAAATCGTGGCACCCCTACGTCCCAATGGCTGGATAAGTAATTCAACTCTATGGGCCTCACTTTCCTTCTCTGTGAAATGGGCACAATACTAGCACTTCCCTTATAGGCTGGCTGTGGGGATTAATCCAGGTAAAGAGGGTAAATAAGCTCTGGGATGAGTGTTCATGACATATTAGTTGCTGTAATGTGTTCCTTTAAAAAAAGAAGCAACTTGAGTGATCTTTTCCTGTTCTCAGTTAAAAACTGGTTGCTTATTACAGTGAAGTGTGATACTATGGTGACGAGGAGCTAGGAGCATATTTGTTTTGTAGACTGTTTGAAGAAGGCGGCACAAGACTTCTGGTAGCGCAGGATGAGGAGGAAAGCGCCCAGGCCTGGGTTTAGCCCCTGACCGTGGCTCCATGTAGAAGGTGGAAGGGAGCTTTGGTAACATCCCCTCCACCTGCTGTCCGGGGCTCGTCCACGCGTGTGGACACTGCTGTCCTGTCTCCCCACAGACGGTGTACAACCTGGCCGACGTGGCCTGCAAGTGCCACGGGGTGTCGGGCTCCTGTAGCCTCAAGACCTGCTGGCTGCAGCTGGCCGACTTCCGCAAGGTGGGCGACGCCCTGAAGGAGAAGTACGACAGCGCGGCGGCCATGCGGCTCAACAGCCGGGGCAAGCTGGTGCAGGTCAACAGCCGCTTCAACTCGCCCACCACGCAGGACCTGGTCTACATCGACCCCAGCCCCGACTACTGCGTGCGCAACGAGAGCACGGGCTCGCTGGGCACGCAGGGCCGCCTGTGCAACAAGACGTCCGAGGGCATGGACGGCTGCGAGCTCATGTGCTGTGGCCGCGGCTACGACCAGTTCAAGACTGTGCAGACGGAGCGTTGCCACTGCAAATTCCATTGGTGCTGCTACGTCAAGTGCAAGAAGTGCACAGAGATCGTGGACCAGTTCGTGTGCAAATAGCGGGCACTCGCCACCCGCCTGTCACCCCGCCCCGCTCCCAGGACCCACTTATTTATAGAAAGTACAGTGATTCTTTTTTTTTTTTAATATTGTTTTATTTTCCCCCGAGAATTACAACCGGAACCATTTTTTTCTGTTCCCATCTAAGAACTCTGTGGTTTATTATTAATATTATAATTATTATTTGGCAATAATGGGGGGTGGGAACCAAGAAAAAAATATTTATTTTGTGCATCTTTGAAAAGGTAAGACAAGACTTCTTGTGATGGTACAGGATGAGGGGGAATTACAAGTACCCTTAGTTGTGTGCGCATCTAGAAGGGAAAAGAAACATGTTTTCTTTTTCTCAACTGTGGGGTCAGATACGGGACAGGTAGCATCCAGCTGGAAGGGGCTGGTACGGATCTATGCACGATTCAGCCTCTGTGACCAGAGTGAATTGTGAATGCTCTGGGGAGAGTGGAGAGTCCTGAGAAACCAACCAAAAATGAGGCCTCACCCCCTGCCCTCTTCCCTAGGGACCGCCAGCCCGAAACGTTTTCAAAAAGGTAGTTTAAAAAGTAACAGCAAGAATCTCATGTCCCTCAAAGGAAAAAGGTATATTATTTGTCTCTGTTTTCTCGAACATTCTATCTGCAGATGGTCTTATACTAGTAGCTACTGAAACTTGGGGAGCCGGGAGGAAAGCCCTGGTAGTTGAAAACCTGAAAAACACCTATGTCAAGATAGTGACTTGAAGCTGTTACAGGAATTAGGTTATCAGCTCGGAAAAGGATCCCTGCATGATTCTGGGTACTAGACTTTTTGTTCGGGGAGATGTGGGGAGGTTGGCTTGAATATAAAGAAAAATATACTGTAATGTTCTTAGGGATACTTGGTTAATAAATAACATTAATGAAAATAGTAAATGAATCCAGTCACAGGTCCTCAGCCCAGACGATACGGTAATTGCGTGCAGGTCAGCGCTGCACCAGAACAGAAAACCTGTTTGAGGGAAAAGAGTGAAATTGGCCCTCCAGCTTGACCCCCGGTCCTCTCTGATTCCTCCTTGCTTTGCTGTGATGTGATGCTGGCCATGTTGCCAAACGGCAGCAGCTCGACTGAGTCCCCTTTGATTGTGGGACAGGAAATGAAGCATTACAGGCTCCACTTGGGAAATAGTCTGCTACTTAGGGATTTTTTCCCCCTAAAACTTTTATCTGGAGGAGCACTAGTTTTATAAGTTTTGATGACATTACATGGCTAATGGAGTTCCCAGAGGTGCTGCAGCGCTTCACTGTTGTGATGCTGTGTGGAGACTGTCCACTCAGGCTCTTCCTGTTACACTGCAGGTGCGCCCTGACACTGTTCCTAGGGCACTTCAGCGGTTGCATTTATAAGGAGGGATGCGCCTTAATGGTGCCTGATATCTCAAAGTCTTCTGTACATAACACACACACGCACATACACCCCTATATATAACTATAAATATAATTATATCTCAGTGCAGCCAGTGATTTCTAGTTTACTTGGGGGTTATTTCTCAGTCTAGAGCATTGTTATCCTTTGTTGCAATCCAATTGGACTTTTTCCAAAAGGTTTCTGGGTTGAGCCTGGGCTGTGGCCCTGATGTGGTCACATCTTAAGCATCACGAAGCAGCCTTGTTTCTGAGGAATCTGGAAGGTCTTAACCGATACGCACGTTGGTTTGAAGTTTCTTTCATTGTCCTCCTGCTACCCCCTTTTCTCCATCCTCCATTTCTGTACACTTTCCAGAAAGGGCATTACTCCTAAGTCACAGAGGTGGAAATGAAGAGAGATTCAAAACCCAGGAGCATTGTCAACCTGTCTGCTTCCTTGGTTCGTGCAGAGTAAAAATCAGTGCCTGGTAGATCTGGAGGTACCTGTTTGAGTCCAGAAGGAAAATTGAGCTTATGACAAACATAGCTAGTTAAAAAAAATTCTTTTAAAGTAAGGACACCTTTTTCCTAAAAATGCCATCAAATGTGTTCTTATCTCAGACGTATGCTGTTCTAAAAGTTTGGAAAGATCCACATCTCCTGCAACCCTCCCTAGGTGGTCTTCATTGTCACCTCCACCACCTGTGGCTCTTAATTTATTGCACAAGGATATTCACTTCCCCTCAGTTGCAGTGAATTGCAAGCAAAAGATCTTGAAATTAAAAAGCACTAATTAGTTTAAAATGTCACTTTTTTGGTTTTTATTATACAAAAACCATGAAGTAATTTTTTTTATTTGCTAAACCAGATTTTGTTCCTTTTTAGTGATTCGTGTTTATGAAGAGAGTTGAGTTTAACAATCCTAGTTTTTAAAAGAAACTATTTAATGTAAAATATTCTACTTGTCATTCAGATATTATGTATATCTTCTATGGCCTTTATTCTGTACTTTTAATGTACATATTTCTGTCTTGCGTGATTTGTATATTTCACTGGTTTAAAAAACAAACATTGAAAGGCTTATGCCAAATGGAAGATAGAATATAAAATAAAATGTTACTTGTATATTGGTAAGTGGTTTCAGTTGTCCTTCAGATACTTCATGTTAGAGGTTTTTTTGAGAAACCATGAGGGATAGTTTAGGGTGACTACATGTCAGAATAATAGAAGAGTGGAGAGTTTTACCAAAACCAAACTTTCGAAGCTTCAAAAGATTTCTATATGTAACGGAACAAAAGGGGAATTCTCTTTTCCTCTATATGTTCCTCAAAAAAAAAAAAAAAATCAGGCAGATGGCTTAAAGCTGGTTATAGGATTGCTCACATTCTTTTAGCATTATGCATGTAACTTAATTGTTTTAGAGCGTGTTGCCGTTGTAACATCCAGGAGAACTGAAAGGCACATGCTTTTATCCATGACTAGTATTTTTGTCCAAAAGTATATTTCTGTTTACCACTGCATCTGTTGTCCCTCTCTGTTGTAAGTTACCATGGACAGATTGTCTGTATGCCCCTTTGAAAGTAGTTCTACGAAAAGCAAACCTCAGTCTGCAGAGAATGAAACTCATTGGAAACTGAAGGTTCGTTGTGTTAAGTGCAATTAATATGAGTTCTTGTGCTTTCTGAAAATGTACACCGAAATCTGGCCAGTGCTGCACAGATTGATACGTTAGCCCTTTGCTTTTTTTTTTTTTTTTTTTTTTTTTCTCTTTCTTTCCGGATAACCTTGTAACATATTGAAACCTTTTAAGGATGCCAAGAATGCATTATTCCACAAAAAAACAGTAGACCAACATATAGAGTGTTTAAAATAGCATTTCTGGGCAAATTCAAACGCTTGTGGTTCTAGGACTCACATCTGTTTCAGTTTTTCCTCAGTTGTATATTGACCAGTGTTCTTTATTGCAAAAACATATACTCCATTTAGGACTGTCAGCATATTTTTTTCTTTTCATCCTGGAGCTCATTCAAGATCTTCCCAATACAGGAAAATTAACAAAAAATTTATATGTAGGCGGCGGCAAACAGAGCCATGTACAAAATAGTAATTATGGGCTCAAGTAGAATGAAGACTGTTTTAAGTTTTGGTCCAGTTTATCTGTTCAGTTCTTCAAGCTTCTGACCTCCTTGGACCAACACTGTGTATGTTTTAGTAGCCTACCCAAACCCTTTTCTCAGACAGTTTTGCCAATCCCAATCTTCAATTTGTTTTTGCAAAACATTATTCAAGCCAGTGGAATGATCGAATATGATGCTGTATGAGAACTCCAAAAAAGCGGCTGGTACTGGCTGAGTGCAAGAGATGCTTAGCAAAAGCAGTCCCCACCAACTGAGTGGTGCATAATAGAAATAGGGAGAGACAGAAAAGGTACCTACAGCTTAAAGCATACATGTAACGCAAATAGGCACCAAGGCCTATGTCTAAATACTTCACTGTCTCTGTAAACTATACTTTTAAAATATTTATTTTTTTTAACAAAGTATTTTTTAGTGTCCCCTCTCTCTTTGGGATGGGGAAAACCAGATGCCATGTTTTGAAAGTAAGACGAAGAAATGAGTTTTTAATAACACAGGATACATTGGGCAATGTTAAGAATTGAAACCTAGGAAACGGATCGTCTAATTTACCTGTTCACACAAACTTTACACTTTAACCTGGCGAATTGGATAATAGTTTATTTAGTGAAACACCGTCTTGTTAGCCAACTTTATAGACAATGGATGTAGAATTAATCATTGGTGTGATTTTTTTAAAAGCAAAGTGTATCGATTTGAATTTAGAAGATTTAAAAATGTTTCAGTATTTCAGAAGCAAAACTGAAATGAGGAACATTGCCTCCTGGATCAGTTTTATATGCAGTGTACAATTTGCTGGGCTAGAAATGAGATAAAGATTATTTATTTTTGTTCATACCTTGTACTTTTCTATTAAAATCATTTTATGAAATTGGTGCAGTCGCGTGTGTATTTAGCAGAGGTGGTGTTCTCAACCATCAAAGTTTGATGCGGGTGCAGAGTGCAATGATGGTTTAGGGCATCCAGAAAAAAGAAAATGATACTTCAGGCAGATGTGTGATACTTTGGTCCAGTTTTGAGGGTTTCCTTTTTATTTTAATGCTCGTTTTTCTTGTGCCTGATGCTTATCTTTATTTCTTATCTGTTCCGCTGCTAACATAGAAGAGTCACAGTAGGAGATTATTATTCAGTGTAGGAATTGAGCACAATGACGTGGGATTATGATAAAATTCAGGGCAAGAGAAGAAAGAGAAGGATTTGAGGAGAGAGAAGATAATGTTCAAGATAAACAGACTGAATCATCCGAAATCTGCATGTTGCACGGCTGCCAGCCAGGTATTTAAAACAGGGTTTCTGAGCGTCAGCAAGGTTGGCTTTGGGAGCTGGATAATTCTTCATTGTGGGAGTTTCTCCTGTGTGGTTGAGGTTTGGCAGCATCCCTGCCTCTAACCACTAGATGCCAGCGGTACCCCCCAATTCATGACAACCAAAAATGTCTCCCAAGACATTGCAGAATGTGCCCCAGGGATCAAAATCACCCCCGGTTGAGAACCATGGCTTTCAATGGAGGGACTGCAATCCTGAGCACTTGAGGAATATAGACTAAGTACAAGCGGGAACTGTTACATCCCTATGTTGGCTAATGAACTAGAAAAGTCGTTTGTCAGTTTTCCTGTGTAG